TTAATGATTCCATGATTCTATGATTCTTCACTCACCCTGCCAACATGGTATACAGCAGGATCCCCAAGCTCCAGATGTCACAGGCTGCATCGTAACCTTGGCGTTTAAGGACCTATGTTATGGAAGGAGAGAGATGAAAATAGGTTAATATGCATTCCTGAATTTTTAGCTTCTGGTCTTCAAAAAGCACTGATCGGTGGTTGTATATGCTGACATTTCCAGGGCTTAACTGCGTATCTGGCTTGAACAGGTGGCTGCCTCAGGAGCAAAATGTTCAGTAGTGGTGTGGAGCAAGGTGAATCCCAGGCTGGAGTGAGCTGGTTAGTGTTCAAGCCCAGCACAGCTGTCACCCCCACAGTGACAGAGATGAGTGCAGTTTGTTACAGGCTCTGGGAGCCTTTCTGACCACCTAACACACAGCAAAGCAGAACAACATTTCAGTGTTTTAAAATGTTTCTTAAAAAAAGTTCATTAATCATAGAACACTTTGAAACGTATGCTCCTAACATAAAGGTTACCAAGAACCTTTAGGAGGCAACAAGCATAGGGCTGAGTGACAGTGATAAGCAAGTCTCAGCTCAGTTTGGATTTGATACAACAAATGGGTGCGCACTAACGCATATCTAGTGTCAGACAAGTAAAGAAGCATGACAACTGCAAAGAGAGGTAAAAAGCTTATTCTTATCTTAATTCTGTATTAAGAAAAGTGGCCACATTTAGGCTGGACTTAACAGATAATAGGCTAAAACTTGATCCCTTTTCCCTATGGGGAAAACAAGACCCATGGTACTCAGCAGAGATCTGACCAGTAGGTTCAATGTTGGTACAGGATGGCGAGTTATAACAGTAAGGGTAAAATCTGAATTTCATTTATGATAATGCATACCAGAAGAAATGCCTATTTGAGTAAGTGCAGGTCCAAGTGAAAGTGAAGTCACCAACTGAGGCAGCATTGCTGAGATTAGGGAAAAAAATTCGGCTCAGAAAAGCTCAAGGACCACCTCCAGATTTCCCACTTGCTCATAAAAGCAAACTACCCTTCTGTTTATTCAGTTCTGACACACAAGGAGAGTTTGGTCCCCTTCTGATGGATCAGTAGATACATTCATTTTTTGCAAAGCACATGAAAAAGGAATGTACAAATTCCGCAAGTCTTTTTCTGACCTGCAGCCTTATTACCAGGAGTGATTTCAGCTATCTGAAGTCTATCACAGAAAAGACCAAGCACCGCTAGGAAAAAATAGTTTCAGAAAATGTTGCCTTGACAGATTTTACAAATGATGAGTGGTAAAGCCATCATCTGCCAGGTGTGCTGCTGAGCGAACGTTTGCTACCTGGAAAAAAAAATGGAGAAAAAGCTGTATTTCCTCCTGTTGACAAAGCTGGTAAAACCCAGCTTCTGCCTCTCTCTCCTGCACATCATATGTATGCTCTCTGGCTGTTTTAATTGTTTCTATTTCTTTAGTTCCTGCATTCATTCCCACTCTGTTAATGTTATTTTTTATGGGAAAAACTTCTTTGCTATTTGACAAACTCAGTTGCTTCTTGCTTCACCTGTGAGACTGAATACCCACCATTTATCTTTTGGTGTGGCCATTCTTGTTGCTTCTTGAACAGTTAAATTTTCATTGCCATCACTGTCTTCCTCCAATAACCAAGGACGATCGAGTCCAAGGCAAATGACATAAAAATGGGGCAGTGATGATGGTTAGTGGAGCAGGGTATTAAGTACATGGTTACACAACCCCACAATGATGGGCAGGTGTCACTGTGTGCTGTCATTCAGTTTGCAAGAATGCTGCTAGATAACAGGGGTGTTCACTCTGTGCCAGTGTCTATGGAAAACTTTGCTGGGAATTACTTTTTATTGACAGCAACTTTACCCCATGGATAACAACAGGGTCTAGTGAGAGTTATCAGTTAGTGTCGCTGCTGCTTGAAAATATCTCCAGCAGGTCTGTGCAACTGTGGTTAATGCAAGAACACTGAGCTGGCAGGAGCAACGGTTGGAAAGTTTGGCCAAAAAGATTAGTGTTTGATCTAGGGGCAGATATTATCAAACAGGAAGAGGCATCTGTCTTAGAAACAAATCAATCAGGGAAACATCTTTGCAAAATGTGCACTGGTGTCCTACTCTAATGGATGCTGAAGAATTTACCACCCATGAAAGGGTCTAGGTCACCCTAAAAGAGAATTTGGTGGGATCTGAAATACACACATGAGCTGGTTCTTAGCTCCACACATGGCAGGGCGTTGTGGTGATAAACCTCCTCTGGGTTCATCCAGTTCTGATAATGGCTCAGATGTTTATCCAAACCCCTTTTATTTCTATAGGCTTTGATTTATTGGATTAACAATGTTACAAATATAGGCTTTTCTCAGTTGTGACACAAGCAGGGATGCGTATGGGTATGAAAGCTAATAAACAATCTCATCATTTCAAATGCCAAAACAGTAGTTATTCACGGATTTTGGAGGAAAGCTGCAGAATAAAATCTTTTACTTTATCCAAAAGGACCGTACCGCACCAGTAGGGAAACGGCAGGCTGCCTTTTCCCTCCGGCCCCAGCCTCGCCCTTCGCTCCCTGCACACAGCAGGACTCGCACTAGGTGGCAGCGTGCGTCTTCTCCCGGACAGCCTTCATCTTTGGTCACGTTCTCATCTAAACCCCAAATTAAATGTTTCCAAAATAAAGGAAGATTCAAGCGGGCAAACATGTCCTCCTTCCTCTGCCACCCTCCTCTTTTGTCATCAGCTCAGCTGACTTTCTGCCACCTTATTTAGTTTCATGGGCTTATGGCAGACGTCGCAGCAGGGCTCAGACAGGGAACGTGAAAGTCAAGTCTAGGCTGGAGGGCAGCATTATATCACAGGTAAAATGTAAAAGCACTTAAGGTTTTACGTAAGCTCTCTGCCAGTTCTCGTAATGTTTCAATTAATCTCTAACGTCTCCTGCATTAGCAGGACCTGTCTTACTCATCACAAATGTCTGGGAGCATGATTTCTGCTTTCGGTTCAAATCAGAAGAGTCTGATCTGAAACTGCATTGGGCCGGCGACGTTTGTGGTTACAGACACTATACAAAATAGCCCATCATGAAAAATAGCTACACCTATTTTAAGCGCATTGTATCTTGGAGAAAATGTCAGTGCTTTAAATCTTGCAAACATGATTTCTTTCTGGTTTAGAAATTGAACTGCTGTGGTGCCACAGAACTTTTTAAACTTATTTTGATAAATTTTAAACAGCTCATTCCAAGTTTCTAAAATGAAACCCCAACCAAACAGCAACAAAATAACAAACCAATCTGTCTTGGCAATGGAAGATATTTTGCTGAAAAAAATCTGCTTTGAATTTATACTGCCCCAGCAATGGTCGCAATTTAACAAATTCTCCTTCTGATGCTGGAAGGCTGTGATTCCTGTACCTTTTGATATCACGAAAGGACCATATACAGAAAGATCATCCCATTTTTCACTTCCCAGTTACGTACCATGCAGATGAACATTGGATGGAGGAGAGTTATGGGGAAGAAAAGATTGCCGAATGATACCAACCAAGAGAAAGTGGTATTTGACAGTACAGGACAGATGAAGTATTGAAAGGCAATAGTTTTGTATTTTTCTTATAAGGACCATAACAAGCAGAGGCAGACACACATCTGAAGCTGTGTATTGCAAATACTAAAATTGCTGATAAGCATCACTACAAGAAATGGACAATTACCCAGGAAATTAACCTCCTGCTCCTTCATCGGAAGGAAGCAGCTATGAATGTCTCAAGGGTCAAACACAGCAAACAGCCCAAGTCATTCAAACAGCTGTGGGACCAAACCCACTCCATGGGGCTGCATGAAAGGAACAGCACTTCCCAGCGATGCAGAGCCACCTCTCCCCGCGCTTGGGGCAGGCTGTTTGGTCTGCCTCCATCTCCCTGTCAGTAAAAATGGGAAAGCAGCCCTTTCCTACATCCCCCATAACAGGAGGGACTGGTACGAGGAAAGCCCAAGAGGAGAGATGTTTCTTTAGCTCAATGAAGTCAACGATAAAGCTCCCACTGACTTCAGTGTGGTAAGGATTTCATGCATGGATTTTTCTTTTGAGTCTTACTTCTGATACCAAGATTTCCCTTTTAAGCCTTATCCCGTTCTGATGCAGTGCACTAGAGGGGAAGCAGTCTGAGCAGAAGCAGCTACAGAAAAAAAGGTATTTATCCCAGTAATGAGCCAAATCATTGCCTACGTCAGTCTGAGGCAGACACCGGCTTCTGTCAGGAGAAAAACAACTGTCCTGTCAAGACCAGGAATAGGAAAGTTATGGTAATAGAGGCTGTGCAAGTGCCGGTAGCCTGGTTTCTGCCTTGCTCCTCTTGTAAAGGCAGCGAGGAAAAGGGAGAGAGGAAGGACCGCTTCCCAGGACACACTCATTACTCACGGCTTTGAAATGCGATCCTACCTCAGGGGCGACAAAATTGGCCGTGTAGCAGGGAGTCATGAGCAGCCCGTTCTCCGCTCTCAGTTGCTTGGCAAACCCAAAGTCACAGATCCTGATGGAATCTGGGTTTCCTGACTCATCCATGTAGAGGATATTACTTGGCTTGAGATCTCGGTGCACCACCTTAACAAGAAAGCAGTGAGTAAGAAATGAGGAGAGGAGGTCAGGGAGCATCCAGGTTTGGCTGCCATTTCTGGTCTGCTGGTTGAGGTAGGTCAAGAGCTCATGCCAAAAATATTTAAGTTTTGGAGAAAAGTTGCTTAAAAGCCTTGGGCAAACGAAGGAAAAAAAAAAAAAGGTGAAAGTCTGTTAAAATCAGAAAGAACATGTTCGACAGCCTCTGCTGGTTTGTTATGATGGAGGCTGCTGCTCTAAGGGGGACACCTTTCCTGAGGGCGGTCAGAGGGAGTTGCTGCACAAACACCTCCGTGTCAGAGTCTCCTGGAACCTGATGGCCCTAAATATTCAGCTGAAAGGCAAAGAAGAAATCCCGTCATAGCAGGAAAGTGTGTAAGGGTCTTCTTGCGACTGTCCATGTCCATGTCCATGTCCTCCCCTGAAGGGAGGGATTATTTTTTTTCCTCATTTCAAAATGTATTCACAAAAATCTTTTCTGTAGGCACTGAACTTCAAGTGGCTGCGTGTTTTACCAGACACGCTGCATTTCAGTGGTGGGAAAACAGCCTTTATTTGTAATGGCAAGACTGAAAAACTATCATGAAAACATAAAAGCCCAAGCACAAAATACACTTGTTTTAACCATGAAACAGAAAAAGCAGCAAATATTTGACTAGTCATCCAAACTGCTTGTCCCTGAAAAGCAGAAAAGGAGAGACTTTCAAACTGCTGTATATAGAGAGCTTAGATTTTAAAAGGCAGGTCTTTAACAGCACGTCAGAAGCCTTTCCCATCAGCTGCTCAAACTGCCACTTCATTTGGAAAGCTGAGCATTTGATTTTCTACCTATTTGCTGATTCAGCTACCCCGTCTGAAATTCTGTTAAAAGATCAGGTACTGCAATAATGACTGTGATAAAAAGTAAACAAGTAGTATGTCAACAAGATACATGAACTTGAAAATCAGTATAGTTTGGGAATGAAAATACCACTTCAACATACTGCAGTTCAGTTGGGAAATGGCTAAAAAGCCTATGACCCTATTTCACAAAGCAAATGTAATTATAAATATGGAGAAAGATTTTTTTTTTTGGAAAAAAATGTATTTACATCTCAGAGAAGCAAAATCAACAGCTATTTGCTTTTTCTAAAAGTCAGATTTTAAGATGGTTGATGCAGATAGCCAAAAAAGCAATGCTTACGCCCTGAGAGTGCAGGTAGTCCACAGTCCTGGTGATGGTGCACAGCACAGCGCTGGCCTCCCGCTCTGAGAAACACTTCTGCCGAAGAATGCGGTCCAGGAGCTCGCCTCCCCGCATCAGCTCCATCACCAGGTACACATATTTCCCATCATCATAGACCTGGAAGAGTAATAAAATAAATATATGTTTTGGACCCATTAATGTGGTAAAGGTTGGTCCTTTAATCACAGCGTTGGCTTGCTTGTGTGAGATGTTGCAAGAAGAAAATGTCAGTTAATGTGTGGGAAATGTGCTTATTACACTTAACAACAGAAAAGGCAACTTTATAAAATGACTTCATCATCACTTTTTTCTCATGTCTGTAGCAACTTGCTGATTTGTCCATGCAGAAACGTAGCTTTCCTGATCTGCTATCATGTCAGCAGAGTAGACCAAGCTGCTAAAAGCAGCACCACTTCACACAGCCTGAAATGTCTGCTGGCTCTCACCCAAGCCTCCTTCTCAGTAGTGTTCTCTCTTTCCACTTCTACAGGGTAACATTTGCCATTTCAAATATCAATATTTTCCTTTGACTCATGATCAGCTAAATGAACTGTATTATACTGTTGGCCAAGACCTGCTTCCAATGATATTATATAGTTTAGATTTGCAATTCTGGTGAATACGTTGTTGACATCAGCTGCAAGATGTATTTACCTTCAATGTCAATGGCAAGGGGTAAATACTTTTTTTTCTATATTGGAAGACAGCCATTTTCATGTCATAATCCTTTATCTGGACTGCAATAATAGGTGGTGATATAGTCATCAATGCTAAATGTTTTTGGAAAGGAATATAAAACATTTTTTGCACAGATTTTAAGATACTTTTTAACACTTAGGAATTAGGGCACACTTTCCTGAGGGCATGTGATTAGAAATTTTTTGTATGCTTCTCTAAGGTCTGAACCATAATGTACTGGCCGCTGACATCAGCAGGATTTTGTTCTGTAAACTCTGAATCTGACATGGTGTGGACAATCCTAGGTGAGACTGCAGGCAGTGTAAGTAAAACATCTCTGACTAAAGGTCATTACTGCATGTAAGCATAGCAAAGGCTATTCTTCATATGAAATGCTGAAGAAAGATAGCTTCATGTCTTCTCAGGCTGCTTGAATAGAAGGTAAATACTCCCTCGCATTGTGGTGGTGTATTTCCTCCCCTCCTTCCCCGAGGCTGCTCGTTGATCTCAGAAATTCCCATGAAACCTCAGCCTTGGCGCACTGAGTCTGGCGGCTGAGCGCTCCTTGACCGTATCAGAAACTCTGCACAAGCTGAGCTGGGAACGTACTCCTACTGCCTGGCCCGGGTGTCAAGTAGGACAACACTGAAACCTTGCGGGTGTCAAACAACACTGAAACCTTGAGAATTTTTAGTAATTACCACCTGGCACTGTGGCCAGGATGGAAATTTACGGATGATTAAAGCCAATCATCTTGAGAACCTATAAACAGTGGTCCTAAGTGAGATCCTTTGAGGTCTCCTGGACCGCAGCGGGCTGCGCCCAGCATCTCCTTCTGAGTGTGGCGCCTCTCAGAGCTTGCGACCTCTCGAGTCTGCGATATTCGGAGGACTGTCACCGATGACGGGACCTGGGCTGAACTCCTTCACTCCTCGAAGCTCAACCCTTCGCCTGTTGAGAAAGAAATGCCTAGACTTTCGACGTGAATATTTCTTCACTAAAATTGAGGGGAATTTTTAACTGGTATACCTTCTGTACATTTTTTTTTTTTTTCCCCTGTCTGTCTGTATGTGTGGACTAATAGTAAGCATAATCTGTAATTAAGTCATGATTATAGAAGACTCTACTAACACTTATTTCGTAAATATTAAATTAGTTAATGATTAAGTGCTACTAAAGTATGTTAATGATTACTTGATGATTAAGTGCTGCTAAACACATACAGTCCCTAAGATATAAACCCTTGATGATTTTCCTTTATATGTTTCATCCATGTAATAAGTAATAGAGTGAACCTTGCCATCGAATTCTGTTAGGTCCCATCTTTGTAAGTCTCTATTAAAATCACTTTCTGCTAATACCTTTGATGGTGATTCTTTAAGCGGCCTCTAAACCACTCATTTGCGACAGGCATTAAAACACTATCGGGGGAAACCTTAGTGACTTTGTGAGCTCTCCTCTTCCCAACAGAGCAGATCCCACAGGCTGCATGGGAACGGCTGCTGCTCACGAAGGAGCATGCCCTGCCCAGCAGCATCACTGCGTGTGCTCAGCAGCTTGCCCTGAAACACCCAACTAGGGAGATCTCACTTCTGAAAAGCGCTGCAAAACCAAACACATTTTGTTGTTCTCCAGCACTGTGCCCCTTTGGTTTTATTTACAGTTGGTTAGACAGTAATTGGAGAATGTATAACCTGACCAGTCTTTCCAACTGCTATCCAGTAATTTGTTAAGTCATGTTTTTTCCTTGATTTCAATGGGTCTGGTTTTAGCTCTGACTTTCAGCTGAAGAATTTTCCAGACATGGACTAGTAGGTGAGCCTGACCATAAGGTGAAAATCATGTAATGCTGAAGTGCTCAAAGACTACTCACATCTTTAAGAGTAATGATATTTGGATGCTGTCCATATCGCAAGAGGATCTCAATTTCTTCAGAGGGGTCTCTCTTGCTCTTATCAATTATCTAGAATAAATGAAGCACAGTGTAGTAAGATACCAGCTAGCAGCACTAAGCACAAAACAAGCAATTTCTACAGTTCAAACAAATTAAAGTTTAAAATTCTTCTATTAATCATTACTCTAAGAGAGGACAGCTCAAACCCTGTGCAAATGAGAGCCATGCTGACTATATGCCAAAGCCAGATGGAGCAATAATTAGTTTAGATTCTGAAGGTGTAGGCCCTCTTTTTAATGCCTATAGTTTTGTTTGCCTGTAAATAATGGCAGCTACAAGAAGTATCATTTAGAAATCAAACAACCTGGAGAATTTAAAAATAATAATAGTTTTAAAATTACCTCTTTGACATAAAAAATGGAACCGTTCATAATACTGGTATATGGTTGTATATCTGCTGATAAATTAATAGAAATTTCTTATCAGGTGGGTTTGTCAGAAATGAAAATGTATAGACATTTACTGTCAGGGGAGGTCTGAGTTGAAACTATTGGTAATCACTTGGCTGTTTGGGCCACGCTGTTGTAATGAACAAGAGAGTGGCCAGAGATTGCATTTGGCCATGTAACCAAACTCTGCCCATTCCTAAGCTAGAAAGAAATCTGCTTTATATATCACTTTTCTGTATTCAGCATCTTTTGCCTTATCAGAGAGTAGAGTGAGACATGAGTTTTATAGCAGCAGGTCTCAGAAAGACATGACACCTGCTGCTTAGAGAGCATCACTGCATGGAAAGCCTGCTGTTAGGATGGCACCGACTTCTCGTCAATGCTATTACCTATATTTGGGATGTCAATCAAAGAGCTTCAATCATTTGCCCAGTTGAGAGCACTGATTAATGTTTCTCAATTCACAGATTTAAATGATAAATATGAAACTAAAAATAGCTATAAAATCATCCAAGGGAGATCTCTGTATTTTGGAATCTCAAATGCAACCGCACAGGGAATGGCGAAAGACTCGTTCTACTAGAAACTCATTAGGAATACAGTATTTTGGCACAATTTCTTATTGCTAGAAAACAGCAGCAGTACTTTTGAATAACAGGTGTACCGAAGAGGAATGGGTGGCATTTTCAGAAAAGCATAATTTCATGATTGGCTTGGATTTCAAGGCTTCAACCTTAAATGTGGTTAGTTCTCTCTAAGAACTAGGCACAGAAAACAGATTTAAAACAATGGTGTTTGCAGGGAAACAACTTTTTAAAAATCTCTTTTGTTGATGAGGATAAATGCCTGGCTGCTTTTGCATGCATTTTTTATGGCTTAATTACGGCGATACACATTTAAGTGCATGTCTAGAATTTTAAGCATCAGTTATAATAGTTCATACTTGAATATATATCAGAGGTTTCATAGTCATCATGACTGGCATGCATTTGCAGTGATAATGATGGTCAGTAGTTGTCCATGGTTGAGGTATGCATTTGAAGCCATATCAGTGATTTGATTCTGAATTAATAGCAGTGTAACAAGTGAAAGTGCAACAGGGAGCTGATGCAGGTAGATGGCTGTTGTCCACATTTGAATAAATGAAGGAAAAACCTCAAAAACAGGTGAGTGGAAAAAATTCTGCTAGTAATTTCTCCTTAGAATAACATTGTTTTCCCAGCTTAGTCTCAAAAAGCCAATAAAACCCTGATTGAATGACTCCTCATAAATACAACCACAGTGACTGAATGTGTCCCACTCAACCAATAACTCTAACATATAAAAAGATCCTCAGGGCCACTTCCTTGGCTAAACTAATATAGCTCTTGTCAAGTTAATGTAGTTACACACACGTGCACCTGTTAGGATCTGCCTGCCTTGTACAAACCAGCAGAATTTACTGCAGCAAGTATTACTGCCACTGTTTGAAGTACTGCTATCACTATGGTGCTGTAGCAAGCAATATATTCCAGATTCCTTTTCTGTTGTATTTTCCTGTGAAAGGAAATATCCAGAGCTGTGGAAAATTTTAAGCAACTATTAATAACGCAGGACTATAAATGGATATATATGGCCTAAAAAAGATCCAAACCAAAAATAGTCTCAGCCATTGACACAAAACTCAAAATAACATAACCTGAAGCAGTCTGCTACTGGCTTAGCAGCAAAAGCAGTAGATGATATGTAATGCTTCTAACTCACAATATGCTTTATAAATAAAAATTGCAAGACAGTCCCACTAAATATGCATGGTTTTTGCTTTAATGTGTGCACAAGCTGCGATATAGTGATTAAATGGACAAGCTGCCCAAACCATATAACAAATCATTGTCAGAGCTGTGAAGGGACCTGCCAAATTCCTCTCAGTCCCTGGGCAGTCCGGCTGGACAGACCAGAACAACTTTTTTCCTCCACAGCGAGAGACTGTCACCCTGACGGTGCCTCTCTTCAGCGTGCCTGTGACTTACACTTGGCCCATAACTGATAAAGCAGCAAAGGAGGTGGCTGCTGCAATGTTAGTAGAATCTCTCTTCAATTCAGACTGGCTGCAGTTCACACAGTTTCTTTATTCACATGCTGCAATGGCCACAGCAGCTCCTTATGCCCTGTAGCTCCACTGTGATACCCGATTCTCCTGGTCTTCCTCTTCAGAAAGTGTTTCGGTGTGTCGTTAAACCCATGCCAGACTTTCCAAAGAGGGAAGCTGCCATGTCAGGGTGGTTCAGCCGGTGGTTGCTGCCTCCTTTTGCACCCAGAGGTGTCTGCATCACACCATGAGGTGCTGCATCCCCAGAACATCTGCAAATCTTGCCCCAACTTAGTACCAAAATGAGCTGTAAAATACAGGGGCTAAGGGAGATGTGTCGTGGGCTTCTGGTGATATTCATAAATAGTTCTGAGATTCTCAAAAAGTATCAGATTACATGAATTAAATTATGTAAGTGAAAAGGCAGTGGTTTCACTGGACAAGTGTAAAAAAAGGGCTTTTTGTGCAGCTGTATTTTCTGATTTTCACTACGGGTGTTGCTGTATGTAACATGGAGGAAAAGCATGCTCCAGGCACCTTGTGCAGATGCAGCAGGAGAGAAGCAGGACGGAGGCAGCCCCGGCACAGCCCCCTCTGCACGCTCTCCCCACGCTCGCCAGCCGGCCACAGGGCTGCTTGGCCTCCCGGCAAAAGCATGTCGCGTCTGTCGTACTTGTGCAGTAACCACTTTCTTCTCCAGACAGCAACACATGGGCTGCTGGGCACAGAGTCCAAAATCACCGTGAACACCTCGTCCACAATCCTACATGCTTACCTACACACACATCCCGCTTCCTGGAGTGGGTCAATGCCAAGATACATGAAGCAGCCTTGACCGTAATTTGAAAAGTGTTCGCTAAGTCAGACTTAGCGATTGCCAGAGAAGGTGAGGGAGGCATTACAAAGTCTAACCGTGGTTGTACTCTGCCTCCTGGAAACAAACCAAGGCACTCTTCTTGCTAGTCCTTTCCAGGGGGTACCTGGAAAGCAGCTGCTGGCTCCTCAGGGCTGTGCTCCCACTGCGCTGAGATCCGGTGCCCCCCGGGGCTCTCCCAGGGTGGGGACACGGGTGTTCTTTCCAGTGGGCTTTGATCAGTGGTGAACCACTACCAGAGCAGACACCCATACCAGGCACTTGGCTTTCCACTTCTGCATTACTGTTTCTTCCTCCTGCTCCTGCTTTGGAGTTTAATTATCTCTAATTTTTCAAGATCAGCTCCATTGTCAGTCCACCTCTGCGTATGGAGAGGTTTTAGCTTTGTCCACTGAATTCAACCAGTGCAGATTGTGTAGACCAGACAACAGCATATGTGGCACTTCACACCCAACCAACGTAGCAGTTAGGTATGGTCCTCAAACTAATTTTAATACAACATCTCTCAGAGCTATGCTTTCAGGCTGCCCTGAGAGACCCCACAAGGATAGCCCGTTGTTGGCTACCCTGCTCTAATGAGGACCAAGGGCTCTGGATTGTTTCCTACCTATATACTGGAAGCTGCAATGCTAGAAAGAAAAAAAGCATTTAATGTTACAGATACGGATACAGGAACTGCCGTACTCTCATCAGACTTCCTAGATGAGACCACACATGGCCACAGCATGGGACACAGTGTCTGCTCTTGTTCAGAATTATTATTAATCAGTTAATTTTTTTGCTATCTAGTAGCTTTCAAGCTCTACTGTTGGATGCTGGCAAGCTAAATATGTCTATCTGAATTTTAGATAGGCAATGACACTCTTAAACCCTGATTAAAAGCTGAGCAAAACTATGTAACTTCTAAATATTTCTTGTGGTAACAAAGAGCATTTGCCACCGTGGTCACTCTGTTTCTCTGAGACATTGTGTTTTGCACAAAGAGAGATTCTTCTCTATTCCTCTCTGTGACAGCCCATGAACCTCCTGCAGCTCTTCCTGTGCAAGGAATGATGTCTTTTCTTTAGGAAATTCATTCTGATTTGAACTCAACTGAAATGTATACATAAACACCCTCTGTTACAGAATTAAGGGAAGATTTTCTCTGCTATTAGTCCTGAGGTTTTGAGGCATATGTAATGATGCTACTTTTCTATTTCTCTCCATAGATGTGTGGTGAAGAACACCAACTCAGAAAGCCATCATAATGTATAAATAACTTAACTGAAAATGTACAAGAGCTCTATTGTACTTCAGCAGAGAAGAGCTATGAAGCACAGGGGTTTTCTACTGTCCTTTAGAAAAATAAGAAACTGAGCCATACAACAAATAGACTTTTCTCTATGTAGTGGACACCCAGGGATTGCTTAGAAACTCATCTATATTAAACAGTGGATGAAACAATTCCAGAGTAAAATGGGCTCAGCACATGCAATAGTGTCCTTTGTTCTAATAGGGGACTTGTCTGTTCTTGGACTATCACATCCTTTGTGTATTTCACCGACTAGCTGAAAGAAAAGGTGCATTTTCTTCAGCAGAATTTAGGGTAAGAACCTCGTGATATTTTAAAATGAGTCGAGCACCATCAAAGGACAATACTGAACTCTTTCTTTAAAAAGGAAGAAAGGATCAGGAGAGA